ACTTAATTTGTCAGGCAAGTTTTCTTTTCTCTGCACCCCGCTCTCCCCTCCCTGCCCCCCCCCTCCCCAATCCTGGCCTCGTTCTGAATTTTCCACCATTTCCTGGAATCAGGCTACGTTTATCCATCTTTGCATTCTCACAATTTCCAGTGACTCTAATGGGAATTTCATGCAGCTAGGATGACAGCAATTTATGATCTTTTTAGTACGATGATTACTGGAAGCCTATTTCTAGTATTCAGGCAAAACGTTTCTGCGGTGCTCCATTAGCATGGTATTAATACGCTCGAGTATTCCTATCTCTGCCTGCTTTCCCACTGCGTCCCGATATAAGCTAAATTGTATGTGATTATGATCTTTCCCGTCCCTGCTATCATCCCTTCTCTGGGTTCTCTGGGCTCAGAGCGTTGGCGCTGAAGGAGGCTTTTTCACTGATTTTGTAGCAGATGAGACTGACATCCAGCGAGATGAAATGTTGTGCCCAGCGCAGCACAACTTTTTTTGCCTAAGCCTCGGCCAGAAACCAGGGCTCTGACCCCTGGACCGCATGCTCTCTAAGATGCCATGCATGACTTTTGGGGGGAACTAGAGTACAACCTCTGCTATTCAAAATCCTTAGATAGCCAGGTTTTCTGTAGAGCTGAAGGATATGTAACCTTTTGATTATTAGAAGTGTAATGTTTAACTCTTTGGGGATCAGTGCCTAAAATGGACAGTCCAACCCTGACTCCTTAAATAGGGATGCAATGTTTTTCTCTTGATCATTTCCTTTCTTGATAATTCTCGATAATGCCTTTTCCAGATCATTCCAGCTCATCAGTCACCATGCTTGCCGATAGGTGGAGGTGGTGTGGTATATATGGTTGAAAACAGGGCCTGAGTCAGACGCCTGCTTTCTTTTTTTTTAAGATTTTATGGGGAATTGGGGGTGGGGAACAGCGTTGGGGAATCGGGGAAGGGGAACAGACAAGTTGCTGTCCTTTTGTTCTTCAGTCTAGTTGTGGAGGACGTTGCTTCACTGGCCCATGTTGGTATTATCATTGTGCCCCTCCCGGGTGAGGCAGATCGGTCACTGGCCTCTGGACAGCTGCTCACAGCGGCTCTTGGCAGCTCACGCCGGCTACCAGCCACTCACGGTAGCTTATGGCAGCCCACTGCATCAGGGGCTGCAGCCTACGCTGTCGCCAGCGACCCACAGCAGCCCAGCTCCAGGTCGAGCTGTTGTTCACCATCTTAGCTGTAGAGGGCACAGCGTCACTGGCCTTAAAGTGGGATCCGAACCGGGGTCTTGCTGCCCAGAGCCGGTGTCCCAAGCCAGCTCCGGACCAACACGCCACTCAGCCGGCCCAGAGGCCTGCTTTCTTTGGAAAAGATCTCTGGCCTTGCAAATATTCTGATCTTTGCCTTTCTCGAGCACTTTTTCTTTGTCAGTGACCGTGCAGGATGCCTGCACCAGGTAACATCTTCTAAATGTCTCATTAATTGTCTGCAGCATTGAAAGAATTATGCTTTTTCCATCAGTAGTACGTGGGACAACGGGCACCGCCTTGACAGCCTGAACTTGTCAACACAGTTTGTCACTGGGTATGATGGATTAGTCTTCGCTATTTTAAGAATTTGTGTTAGGCTGGGTACGATTGCACTGTCACTTTGCTTCAGAGTGATTCTGAGTAAACGTCCAAGCGAATTAGGCGTGACATGTAGCCTTAGTTCCTCGTCTATAGAAAAGAAATAGTGCCTGTCTCATAGAGTAGATTGAGGATGAAAAGGGGGAACGCATGCAGGGTACCTGCCCCTGGACCTGGGAGCTAGTAAGTAAGCTGCCAATTTATGCTGGTGATTTCCCATCACCTTCATCATCATCATTGTTACTATTTGTAGCTGAGTGTAGTCATGTCATCTTCTGTGAAAAATGGATACCACCCTTCTCATCTTTTAAGTCCATTAAGGTGAAAGTGGTTTTAGCGTTTATTATTTTTAAAAATCATCTGGAAATTTAAATCACCTGACAGTTGCTAATATGCATCTTAATGTGTCATTCAGTTTAGCATCTTCCCCAGGCTTGGAAAAAAAGTACATTATGATGGTTAATTATTAGATGCGTTCTGGGATTTCGAAGTGACAGGTTGGGTTTTATTCCTGACCTTCCCCCCTTGAGTCAGTCCCTGACTTGAGTAATCACATGACCTGTATCAGTCTTTTCACAGATGAAATAAAATCATACAGGTTGCCACCTCCACACTGATTGTTGTGGGAGTTATGAGTTAGTGTTTCTGAAGCGGGTGGCTGGAATGTGCCACACAGGCATGAGGTGTCTGAGTGGCGTATCTAGTTGAATAGACATTACCTTTGCAGATGGCTCCAGTGTGGTCTTCACAGATTGAAAATAACCAGAAAATCACCAACGGTTTCATCAACAGTGCAGGAAGAGCACCCTTGTCAGCATGGCCCTTTGCGCTCTTGGGTCGTGTGATTGACTTAACACAGGTCTGTTACACAGTAAGAAACAAAACCTTCATTAGTACTCGGTTTCACCTGTAGGGTGGGTGGGCTGAGGCATTTCTCTACACCTATTCCCTAGCATTTTGAGAATTGTTCTACGTGTTTTCCCTCCTGACTGCATTGCAATGATTACAAAAATAAAGCACGTCCAAGAGAGTTCTGTGGTATACTTTCAGTGTCAGAGTATGAAATGTTCCTCAGAGACCCAGCTCTCTTGAAAAATTATTAAAAACCAAATTGTGTGTTTTCAGTTTGTGTGAATTATACATTTTATTATGAAAACCACCTTACGACATATCTATGTAGAATAAGTACGGGTAGTGCTGACCTTATTTTAAATCATTTATCAATTCTTCACTGCATTTTTTGCCTTTTGACTTTTTACAAATAACTTTATTTTGGAGGCTTTCAAACACATACAGAAGCAGAGAGGATAGTCTGATAGATCTCCTATACTCATCACCCAGCTTCAACAATTATCAACACATAGAAGGCCACTTCCCAACCTCACATCCTCACACCATGGGGTAATTTTAAACATACCCCCACGCGTCATATCATTTCAATTGTATGCCTAAGAGATAAGACTCCTTTCTAAACAAATAAATAGATAAAAGTACTTTCTTAATATCAAATAGCCATTTTGTTTTTAAATTTCCCCAGTTGCTTCACCCATCTGTCTTTATAATTAGTGAGTTTGAATCAGAATCCAAATAAGGGATACCCATTGCATTGGTTGACACATCTCTCTTCTATCTGTTAATATCTGGGTTCCCCTTCCATACTCATGTGTATTTGAAGACACCGGGTCATTTATCTGCTAGGCTAGAATGTTCTCGTTCTGGAAGCAGCAGTTGCATCCTGTTAGCATCCTTTAGGACATCCCTTGATCCCTCTGTTTGCTCATGGGACTCACCAGCCCGACTCTTACGGCTTCACTCAAACTCATAGGTCTGGGAGATTGGTCAAAATCTGTGTGTTTTGTTTGTTTTGATTTTGTTTATGTGAGATGTGCTGTTACTGACTACTGCTGTCCATTGAGAGGCACATAATGTCTGGTTGTCTCTCTTTTTGTGTGTCCCATCTGTCCATCCCTGGATTCTGGTGTGGTCAGTTTAGTCCAGCTTATAAAACTCCCTGTCAGCTTTTCACCTGATGGTTTTTAGCAGCTGTTGCTGACCCCTCGAGTCATCGTTTCTTTGGGTTTCAGCGCCTGAAGCCTAACTTTCAGCACCCAATGCATAACTCAGTTTGAAAGATTTTCCAAAAATCTCCTAGTGGGTATTAGAAATACTGAGGGATTCTAATAAACTAATGATTTTTAGGTGAAAGTAATTCAAAATCGTTTCACACTTTTATATAAAAATACACTTTGCAGGATTCTAACTAGAAAAATACAAGGAACTCTTAAGTCTCAAAGAAAGAAGATGAATATGAAAAATAATAAGTAAAGGGTTGGCTGCTTTCTTCTTTTTCCATAAGATCCAACTAAAGATCTGAAATATACATTGTTTCCAAGAGATCTTTTTAAAGAGAATACAGTAATTTTAAAGCATTCATCTTCCTTAAGACACAAGCAAACTGAAACAGTTACAAGTATTCCGTGTTCCTTTTACTAAAAAAAAAAAAAAAATCAGTGATTAAATATTGAAATGCCCCTTAAATAAAGTATTTTCTAGAACAGCAGCATCTACATGGCTTCTAATACCCTTTGCATCCTAACCTTCTTGATTCCAGACCCCCTTTGGTCTGAAAAGATTTTTGCTTTATAGCTTATTTGTTTCATTACAAATAAATCTGATTCCAAATTGAATTCAGTGAGTTGTGGTCATGAGCCCAGCACGGTGTCACGGGCTCAACTACTGGCATATCTGGTGCCCATTCGAACCCAGACACATTGGTCCATCTTATGAATTTATGGCCAAAAGTTTATTCGGGACTTAGAGTTAAGACTTCAAAATTGTACCTAGGTTTCTGGGTTTTATATATCATTCCACTTTTTATGTGGAATAACCTTCATCAGAATCATTTCAGGAAATGAGAAAAGTAGGATATGGCTGTGAGTCAGCCATGGAAAACTAAAGCATGGAATGAATTAGTCAGAAGGAGGGTTTCGGTGGCCAACATGAGCTGTGTGCTGTCAGGAAGTGGTGTGACTTTCCATGATTTTATGTACTATAAATCATGGGGCGTGATGCTGCAGACACCTGGAGTCTTTCTTTCTTTTTTTTTTTTTTCAATCATAAGTTTTGAGATAAAATTGAAAAGTATTATGGAACAAAAGTGCCACAGCTCTTTCAATAGTCAGCCATCTCTATCGTCGGCCCACATGAATTTCTACCCCACTCCCACTCCATCTGGGATAGCAACACTCACTTGAAAGCCCATTGGGTTTGCTAGGTCAAGTCCGAAAAGCAATTGGTCTTGACACAGTTGATGCTACAAAAGCACAGCGTCTGCTCTTTCTTTTGCTTGTAACGTGTTTTCTCATACCGCAGGTTTTGCTGCTTATAAAGCCCTGCCAATTATGGTCTGCCAGAGTCGCTTCTTCCTGTGGTATGCTGCGCTGTAGAGAGGGACTCTGAAATTCAGAATAAGCAGCGTGTTCCTGTAGTCCGTCGTCCTGTTCAAGAGAAAAGAAAAACCCGTGGAAATGAGGTGGATGAAAAGTTTGAGACCTGTAACGTCTGTAAAACTGCACCTCTAGAGGAAAACGTTGAAAATATAGAGTCAACCACTCACATTGTATGTGGAGAGGAATAAGTTTGTTGCTTTATGGGGAATGCAAGTCAGTTAAAATATAACCGCGTGATCAAGTCACCTCTTCTCTGTCTGTTATGTGTGTGATAAGTACATAGAACATTCAATCATTACATCTTGGGAGACACACACACACATATGTGTGTGTGTATAGATATATTGTTAATAAGCATATCTAATATAATAATACAATTAAGAATGGAGCCTCTGTGGGAACACTCACACTCCCATTGAACGTGAATGAAATTCCCGTTGACTCCGATGCCCTTGGCCACCTGGTAAACATTGTCTCTGGGAGAATCCTGTAAAGCAGGTTTGCCTTGTTGGCCAATTGGGGCAATCTGGCAAGGCATCCTGTGGGCTCCCAGGATGGTGTAATGTTCTCATCACATGGTAATAATCCACACCTGCTTCCTCCTCCTCCACCCTCGACCCTAGGGCACCTATGTGCCCTAGACTGTGTTTGTGGCCCCTCCCCCAATTCATATGTTGAAATCTAACCCCCAATGTGATGGTATTAGGAGGTGGGGCCTTTGGGAGGGGGCTGGGTCATGAGGGCAGCAACCTCATGGATAGGATTGGTGTCATTATAAAAGAGACCCCGGAGGGCTTGCTCACCCCTTCTATCATGTGAGGGCACAGCTAGAAGACAGCCAACCATCTGTTAACCAGGAAGCAGGTTCTCACCTGACACTGAATCTGCCACCGCCTTGATCTTGGACTTCACAACTCCAGAACTGTGAGATATAAATGTCTGTTGTCCATAAGCCGCCCAGTCGCTGGTCTTCTGTTACAGCAGCTTGACCTGACTAAGATTGCACAGGAGTCACCTGGGAATCGTGTTAAAATGCAGGCTGTACTCTGGTAAATCTCAGATGGGGTCCAGGGTTCTGCATTTCTCACAGCTCATAGGTGATGCCTGTGCTGCTGGCTCGGGGCCACCCTCTGTGTGTCCAGGCCAGCTCTATACAATAAGCTATGTCTGCAGGGTGGCAAAAGCCAAACCCTAAAGTGTGTTGCCGCCTGATACTAATACTTACAAGACCTTCTGTGTCCACGACCTCAAGTCTCTTTACATCACATTAACACCCACCTCAGTGGGGCTGGGCAACAGCTCAGGATGGAGGAACCCTCATAGGCACATGGCATGAGTCCCCTGCTGGCCTTCCCACCTAGTAGCATATTGAATCACACTTTATCCTCTGAGCACATGGCCGTATGTCCCAAACTCTGCCAGCCTCATAAAGGTCTGACAGTTCTTTCTCCTTGCACTGGGCTCTTTCTTAGTGTGAAGGATTTCTAGAACTATTGGTCATGTTAGTCTGCTCATGGAACTCACCAGCCCTACTCAGGTCTTCATTCTAAGGTTCTTCTTTTAAAAAAAAAAAAAGATTTTATTGGGGAATTGGGAGAGGGGAACAGCATTGGGGAATTGGGGAAGGGGAACAGACAAGTTGCTGTCCTTTTGTTCTTCAGTCTAGTTGTGGAGGACGTCGCTTCACTAGCCCATGTTGGTGTTATCATTGTGTTCTTCCTGGGTGCGGCAGTCGCTCACCAGCCATTGGACGGCGGCTCATGGCGGCCCACAGCAGCTCACGCCAGCTGCCAGCCACTCACGGTAGCCCACTGCAGCAGGGGCTGCAGCCTGTGCCGTCGCTGGCGACTCACGGCAGCCCAGCTCCAGGTCGAGCCGTTGTTCACCATCTTAGCTGTAGAAGGCGCAGCATCACTGGCCCTCATGTGGGATCCGAACCGGGGCCCTGCTGCTCAGAGCTGGCATCCCAAGCCAACTCTTAACCAATGTGCCACTCGGCTGGCCCCTAAGGTTCTTCTTACACAGCCCACTTGACTTCACCTTCCGATGTACAGGGAGAGGGCTCAGAAAGTTCAGAAACACAAGAGGGGATTTCAATTTCAATGACCAAGGGGGCAATGCTTAGGTTTAAGCAGCCTACGAAGTCCTAAACCTATTTAAAGAAAAAACCAAGAAACAATGTCCACCAGGGAACTATCCCAGCCTAGAAACTTAAGCAGTTGCCATATTTCAGAACCACCAATTGTCAGAACATGGGTTTTGGACTAGCTGAATAACTGTTAAACCAACATGACATAGCGGCTTTCTGCCACCTTCTTTTCCCTTGATTGTCCCAATGGCAATAGGTTAAGTCTTTAGTTGGTTATTTTATTACCATGGAATTTTCAAATAAACCAGCAAATCAGCATCATTATTTTAAGGCCCTAGGAAATATGATTCAGGGCTTGTCGTTATTTTTTTCCAAGGAAGAAATGGTTACAGATATTTTCTGCAAGGATAAATGTCTATGATTTTTCCAGTTAGAAGCCAGCCAGCAGACCTTTCATACACCCAGTCTGAAAAGAAACAGTGTTCAGAATGTAGGAGTAAAAATAGCTACTATGGACATGCACACACATTCTTGACAGTTCCCTTAGTGTAATGGGTGCCTTTGAAAACCTTTCCTCTGTTGTCCTTGCGTCTTTGTTTAGAAGAAAAAGGACCCCATTCCAAATGATTGCCAAGAATGTGGCATTTGAAAAAGCGAGTTTAATCGTGGTCATAGAGTTGCTTGTCTTACTTTATCAACATCAGAGAGTTATGTGGTTTTGCATTCATACATGAACGACAGACTTCCAGCTTGGTACTGGAGGAGGACAGGATCTGCATTCCATCCGCTTTATGGTAAAGCGCCGTGTGCACCACTAAACATGTCTGAAGGCATCTGGGTGTATGTGGAGTGGTGGGCTGGAGCAGTGGTTACATCCCTGTCTAATTGTTTGCTTCCAGAGATTTTCCTTGAAAACATTAAGGCAAACTGTAGACAGGAATCTGTGCTTCTGCAGAGACCTTATATAAGGATGTTTAGAAAGAGTGATAGTTCAAGATGAACTCGTTTTATAGTGTTACATGCTCTTAAGTTGGGGGTTATATTAGTTTCCTAGGGCTGCTGTAACAAAATACTGCAGATTGGGTGGCTGAAGAACAGAATTAATTTTCTCACTGTTGAGGATGCTGGAAGTCCAAGATCAAAGTGTCAGCATGATCGATTTCTTCTAAGGCCCCTCTCCTTGGCTTGTAGGTGGCCATTTTTTTTGCAGTGACCTTATATGGTTTTTCCTCTCTGTGTGTGCATCCCCACTGTCCCTTTGTGTGTCCCTATTTCCTCTTCTTATAAGGACACAGTTCTGTAGGATTAGCGCCCACTCTGACAACCTCATTTAATGTTAATTTCCCCTTTAAAGGCCCTATCTACAAATCCAGTCACATTCTGAGATATACGGTGGGGTTAGGACTTCAACATGTGAATTTTGAGGGGGACAGAATTCAGCCCATAACAAAGTTCCTAGAAACCACCAGAAATTGCAAAACTGTTCCTTAGAGTCAGATTATTTTGCAGTTCTTCCATTTCTTTTCAACAATGGTTCTTTCTGTTAGTGGGGAGATGGCACATCTGTCATTTTATTGTGGAAACATAACGTAATTCTCTAAAGCATGTGTTAAGCTATTGGAGAGGTTTTTACTCTGTGAGAAGACTTCTTGAGAAATACACTTGGATGTTCTACAGAAAACTGAGTGGACCTTTGCCACCTAGGAGCCTTGGCCTGCGTCCCCCTTTCCCACTTGCTGCTCTTTACCATCTGTCAACGTGCTGCCCGCTAGCTGCTACCACAAGCAGGAGCACCTGGGGTTGGGGGCTCAGAATTACACCTGGATTCTGTGTTCCAAAGCTGTTCAGTAGCTCCTGGGGCCAGATGGGTGGCCAGGTCTCCCTGGGGGACCACTGGCTCGTCAAGGAACCGCTGTGGACTCACAGTCAGTGCCTGGCCCATGGTAGACAGTCAGTGAATGGATGAATGAACCGAGAACAACGGTAAAGCATTGCAACAGTAAAGATGGTCAGCCATTGCGGCCCTACCTCCTCCTTGTCCTCCATCATTTTCCGCCACCCTGTGCAGCCCTTTAGGGACTGCTGCTGTAGATGCCACCAGTGGGGTCTGGAAGTCCAAGATCAAGGCGTCAGCAGAGTGAAACCCCATTTCGCTGTGTGTAGATTGGAAGCAAAGCAGGTACTGTGCAGTCCTGTATTAACCTGGACTGGAGGGGCACCAGCACCACCCTGGCTGTGAGAGAGTATTAATTTTCCAAGTTTACCTCTGTAATCTGTCCTTTTGGGGTCTTAGGCACCCACCACAAATACCGGTTTCTGAGCAACCACAGTGAGTCATCTAGTAGATGCATGTTCAAACTCAAAAGCAGATGAGAACACCACCAAAACCACCACCAGTTTAGAGAGTGAACCTTGCAATAAGAAAGAAAACTAACAATTATGTAAAGTCATAGGCTGTCCTAGAAAGTGCCTCCGTAGCACATTTCACCTTTTGAATGCAGGCTGCAACAACCGTGGCTACAGGCTGCCCGGTACCTGTGAGGTACGCTGACAGCATGTCAGTACATGCCTGGATACAAACAGAGCCTGCAGGCACATGGCACCTTAGTCACTGGCCAAAGACACACAGCTTTCTTTGATTATAGAGGGCGGAGACTGTAAGGAGCCTGAGTTACAGAAGGCAGATGAAGCAGGACATCAGACATGGCCATTTGGTCACTTCCCTACATCCAGCACATGAAATCTCATAGTCCCTCTACTGGGCATTGGACCATAAGCCAGTTTGTTAGCAGTGATATTTAGCAAAATCACCAAACCTACACGAAATGCAGACAAAACAAGCATAGAGGGCGAAAGCCTGCATTTCTTTGTAATTGCTTTAAACTCTGTTATAGTCCTTCGCTTCAATTTACAATATAAACTTAGAAGAAATAAAGTTTTATTCAGATGGCACTAAGAGTTTCACATTGTTCTGTCAGTCCATTCTGCGCTAGACAGTAGATTTACTGGTAGATGCAGAATTTCGTAACAGCTTTAAAATGATCATGGGTAATGTTTTTTAGTGAAAACAATATTTCTCATGATGTTAAACAAAATATCAATTTTATCACAGTATAGTTAAAGATTTTTAAAGTGTCATAATGGTATTTAAATTAT